TCAATACTACTAGAGTAAAATATTTTGCTGTAGTTGAGGATAATGGTTTAAAAATGACTAGTTCAAGTCTGTAGGAAAAAAATCAGAATGAGACGGAGTCCTCTTAAAAAGTTTGGTTGATCAGAAAAGCGTGTGGGTTTTTTTGGTTTTGTGTTTTTTTAAACTTGTGTATCAACGAACTTCCGGGGGTGGGGGGCGGGACATGGGGAAGGAAAACGCTGCCCCAAGAAAATTAGTTTGGTTTTGGCAACAGCCTGTGTAGAAACAGTGTCAGTGGAGCGCAGATTACACTACCAGGATTTATAAAGTGCTTGTAGGTTTGAATGTAATGATTTTTTTTTTTTTGGAAGCGTCTTGTTGGCAGCCTATGAAGGTTAGAGCGTACAGTAAGGCTACACGTCAACGCGTGGATGTTAACCATCCTGCAGAGTTGCTTATGGAGCTAACAGCTTGATCTTAGACTCCTCCCTTCCCACCTCCAGAAAAACCCAGTACACCGCGAGAGCTGTGGTGTTTAAACATGCTGTGTTTAAGGCTGCATCAGCTAGAAGGATGAAGGTATGGATGAAGGTTTCAAGAGACAGCTCTCCAAATAGAGAACCACCAGGCACCTCTGATTAAACACTGTGAGATGAATTTTAGAATACTGTTAGTAGACTGCCTTAACTGCTCCAGCTTCAGCCTTTGAAGAGGATTGCACTAAAGCATCACAGTGCTTAGAGGAATAATTAATTTATGAACTTATTCCATATTCAAAATGAGAAGTTTAATTCCAGAAATAATTTAATGATGTATAAGATTCTCTGCTCATACTGCTCGAGAACATCTGTTTAGGATGATCTCCTTTAACATGTTTCAGTAGTCTTTTGTATTCAAGATGAATGGGTTTCTAGTAGATAGAAATGAATGCTCAAGTACCCTGTAAATACTTTTATAAATTAACCATGTGCCTTTGTCCTACTGTCCTCTATTTGATCTTTTTAATTTTGGCTACTAAGAATTCTAGACAAGCATCTAGGTTTCAGTGATAATGTTGTATGTTTCAAAGCAATAAGCAGGATCTGTGTTCCAGCAGAGTTGCCAAATATATTAAAAAATAGTGAGTTAATGTGATATTAAATCTGACTTTTCCAAAGATACGATTGAATTGAAAGCTTCATAGTGACTACATCCAGCTTCCTGTGTAATTGCTAGGATGCTTTAAAGTGCTCTTCAGCACTGAACTTCATTTACTTCTGGTATGTCTCAATTCAGCTGAGTAAAAACCATTGAACTCCTAAGGCTGGTTTCCATTTTCAGCTATGTATCTATAAAACTGGCTTTTTTTTTTTCATAGGAGTGAACTAATTCTCTTTAAATGTGGACTGAATCCAAGAATGCTGTGTACTCTGTCCAAAATGTGGTAATATGAGAAAATTTTCCAAGTGTGTCACTAACAAGAATCATCTACGTATGAAAAAAAGGTTGTTACTGATATTTCTAGATTAATTAGATTTTTCTAGTCTGTTTTCACACTAACATATTTATTGGTTTTCATGCAGAGAATGTATAGCTTAAAAATGTTAAAACAATGTCAGACAAGTTGAAAGGTAAAAATGTGTTTTCACTGTTAAATCTTACATTTCAAAACAGAGGAAGTAATAAGGGTTGAAGTGACAGAAAACTATGTAAAGTCCATTCCTCCAGCTCTTCGGAGCAAGTTTTAGTGACTCAATCTGAATTTCAGATTTGTTGAGCTTTGTTAGCAAGCAACTTCTGTGAAATAAAAGGGAATTTGACCGAGAGTAAACTCAGCTCTGTTTGCGTGTTTTAGTTTGCTGAAATGGACTGAGATAAGGGGTTTTTTTTGGTGGAAGAAGTTTAGATGAGATATTTAAAGTTTACTTATGCACTTAGGATTAGATTGAAATCTAATTCATATCAGTCTAATAAAATTCCGTTGATAAACTTCAGTGGAATTTCAGTAATTCAGAATCATGATGCTGACAACCTTGCTTGTGTCTGGTTTTTAACTCTCCAAAGCACGCACCGTAGTGCATGTAGGGAGATTATTACGAGTTGCGACGCTGCACTACAGCCAGAGTTAATGTAGTTCTGATCATGCTGAACTTTTCAAACAGTTGGTACCTGAGCTCTATCAAAATTCAGAGGATGGTGCCCACCACATCAAGATGCTGTAGGAGTGCAGTCTCAGGCATGCTGCAAAACCTAGGATTTTGCATCCAAATTATGATTGCGTTATGGTCTACCACCCTTAAGTTTTGCTTTAGAGCAGATATTTTTTTTTTTTCCTCCTTCTGTCTGTCCATTTTTCTTTCCTAGTTTAGCCAAAAATGGGGAGCTTGAAGTACATTTCCTGTAGGGGAGAACCAACTTCTATCTTTCTCCTAGGAGAGAGACTTGCAACCATCAGGCTACCTCTTGTTTTTAAATGGTATGGTTGCTGAAATAAATTCAAAGCTTGTTGGACCAGACAATAGACTGTGCCTGGACCTGAGATGCTGATAGGTGATGGGCTAATGCTGATTTTGGTCTTAAAAATCTTCAGTTTCTTTTCTCGACATTCTACAGACGCTCCAGTTTGTTAAACCACTGCAAAGGACACAGGCTTTTTTCTGTGCAATTTAAGCTAAGATGCCAGAAACTATATTATAGGTGACATAACACACAAAAACCAGAGCTGTAATCTTACAGTTGCCAGCTGTCCATAAAGGAATGAAAAACATTACCCCATTATAAACTGCTAAACATCTAAGAACTAGGATGAGGCTTTCCATGTTTTCACTGATAAGTCGTGCATGCTGTGATCCCATTTAGAATATGGTTTGTCCTATGTTATGTAGCCAACAGTCCAATTAAAGCTGCAGCTCATTGCCTACATTGCACTGTTAAGCTTGAGGTGAAAGGTAAATGGGAGAAAAGCTGTAGTGAAAACATGATATGAAATTACATCCCTGGGAGGAAAATGGTTGCCTGAAAAGTGCACATAAAAGAAAATTGCAAACTGAAGAGAGTAGAGTTCACTCCATAATCCTGCTTCTGAAGATAGCTTGGGAAGAGATAGGAAGGGTGACAAAAATCCTTGCTTGTTTATTTTTATTAACTATAGCTTAATTAATTATTCTTCTATTACAGATGATTCACATCTTTTAACCAATATATTCCCTCATCAACACTTCCTAGTTTCTGGATGGATCGTATCATGGATCTGAGGCTGATAGAGCCTTAGACAGGACTTCAAACATCCTGTGATTTGGCACATCATAGCAATTCACTGACACACCAGCTTAGTCCCAACAGCAGTTCGAATACTAAGCGAAGTGCTGAGCTGCAATTCCCGCTTCCTCGGCTTACACACCTGGGCAGTGTCACACTGGTAAGGAATAAGTGCAGTCCAGAATTAGCAGCGCCTGAGCCAAGAATAGACTCAGCCCAGTGACAGGGGAGGCGAGGGAACAGTGCAGGAGAGGTTGAAGTGTACCCACGAGAAGTTAAATGATCACATGGCTGCAAAACTTCATGTGGCGTAGGAATATGTGCCACACAGACCAAGGTCATGGTCTCCCAACTCCCAGGAACCCTGTCCCTAGTCTCAGCCCCCTCCAGTGTCCTAAATATTTAATCCTTTCACAGGTTATAGGCCACTTCTACATACCTACTGAAATTAATGCGTTTTAAAATTTTTTACTTTCATGCATCTTTCAGAAACATTACTGAATTACGGGTTGTGATATCTTTACCTATTCACGTGCTTCACTGCTTCCAAAAATTACTAGGTGTTGCCAGAGCATATTAAACATGAGAGAAACAGGTTAATGGTAAAAGTCCTACCCCTACATCTGGAAGTCAACATGTGAGAGTCTAAACAAAAGGGAAGTATCTCTGCTCCAGTTACAGTAAGTGGATGCCATGGCATGATTCAGTTGCTTGAACAAAGGCATCTAGTGCTATTTGCAAACACACTTGACCGTGCCTCCCAGCCTCCAGCTGTCCTGCTGGAGAGGCACAGCTCTTAGATTAGCCAGAACAGCATGTCTTAGATATAGCAGGGTGCCTCAAATGCTCAGGATACTCGTCTCAGCAGACAGGTCCAGCATCTCAAAGGGCACTAACCCTGCACAACAGAGCCCCTAGCCAACAGTTAGTTTAAATGTCCTTTTGAGATTCTTCTGAGACCTAGGAGATATACATTATAAAACATACACAAAAATAGAAAATAAAATAAGGATGAAACAAAGATGAAATAAACACTATTAAAAATATTTTTTATTTTATTTACTCATAGTACAAAATAAGTATTTTCTTCCTTTACCCCAGTATTTTGTCTTGCACAGCCCCTAGAGCACACTCCCCCCACTTTGGACACCGCTATCTTAGACCTTACAGCCAACACTAACGCTAACCCACCTCAAAAGCACACACGTTCATGTTTACAAGTGACACATCTAGAGAAGTCGGCTAAGTGGAAAGATGTCCAGTAGTAAACTAATCCCTGGTGGAACAGACTGTATCATGGGAAATCACTGAACTGGCTCTGTACTTTGCAAATAGTTGCAGAATTTGCTGAGGCATAATAGATATTTGTTGATCAAATTTGGTAAGAAATAGAGCATTAGCCACAGAGTCAGCATAAATATATTTACTGAGGCACTCCAATAAAGTAATTCTATAGTATCACTATCCACTGCTTATTGGCAGTTAACTATGGTGCAGAGTCTGCTATGGGATGGTAGGTGTTGCTTTGTAATTTAAGCAACTAAGAAAATAGCAAATTTTCTAGTAAGACAAGAGCTGTAATACTTCAGATTTACAAATTCATCAGGAGGGCAGAATTTTGACTGAAGATCAAAACTACAGGTTTACTCTAGTGTTGTGCTTCTCCAGAGCCCCAAACATTTACGGAGACATAGTTTATGTCTATAAATTGTTGAGTCAGGATCACAGTCCAGAAGTTTTGCTTTGTACCCAGCAGACTCCAAAAGAGTTAATAAAGGCATCCTTTAAGGAATCTTCTCTGATGTTAAGACCTGTGAAGCACGGCAGCGAGCCTAAAAAAAAGGTGGGGAGAGATAAAAGACAATAGTTTAATGAACAAAAATATCACTTTAAAGAGCATTTTCCAAATTAGTACTTCAGTAAGTTTAATGAGTATTAGAGGTTATATTTTAACTTAATTAAATGGAAACTTTCAAGACAAAGTTCTAAGTAAATTATATTTGTAAATATAAATCAAATCTTTGAAAAGAGGAAAAAAAACCAAAACAAAACACCTCACACAAATCCTATACAATGCTCTTCCTTTAAATGTGTCCTGAATTGTAAAGCTTTTGCCAGCAGGAGGAAGAGAAGTTGGCTGTATTTCACTGCTATTTCTGGCATGTTCAGGGCCAGAAAACACTTAAGACAGACCTCATTTCAGTATATAGCTGTTAAATACAGTTCTTTCAGCAGGTGACTCAGTCATCAGTTATTTTAAAGTTTAAATAAGCCTGTCCTGAAGCTTGAACATGCTGAACAGTGCTGATAAGACACCACAGAATCACAACATGTTTTCTCAGAATCAGTTTTTAGTGCAGGAAAGAGAACGCTTCAAGAAAAATTACACCTGACATTCAGCTGAAAACTTCTAAAGTCTTAAAAAGTTACAATGCCCAAGGTGAAACATGTGGATAGGACTTATAAAAATGCTGAGAGCTCAAAAATGTAAGTTGCTTAGAGGTGTGTCTTGAATACATGAAATTCTAAGCACTTTCAGAAAGCAGAATGCAATAGTTCTAGTGTTCAAGCTGAGGAGACATTGGATGGTTACACCTCAGTATCCGTGCTCCTTGTTCTTCAAATATGAAAGGCTGATAACTTTACACATAACTTTACAAAGTTGGAATAAAAACTCCTGAACATAATTTTGGACAATAATTGCTTTGTAAGTACCTTATATGCCCACAATAAGTTATTTAGAACAAAATATTGTAAGAAAATGAAAGGAAAGAAAATGAAAAGGAAAAAAACCCCAAACAATTTACACCTGCAAACAGCTGCAAGCTTTGTAAAGGAAGTTGTCAATTACATCAAGGTGACATACATTTACATGCAAAACTTTTTTTGTTTTTATATCCTCTGGTTACTCAATTCACGGAGAATAAGCAGCAAGTAATAGAGAAGAACAAGAAAAGTGAAAAGATTTTTAAAAAAATTATCATGCAACAATATATACATTTGAAAATTGAAGAAGAGATGCAGATACTCTTAAATTTTCTTAGACAGAAACTACTTTCTGAAATACTTACAGCCTTCTCTTCCAATGACAGTACACCATCTACAGCCACTATCTGGTATTGCTTTTCTTTTAGGCTACCCACAAATTTCCGGAGTAGTTTGAGATTAGTACCATCACTGTTTTGTTTTAGCAGTTTCTGCATTTCTTGGGAAGGACATCCCGGGTCAAACAGGAGCAAACATAAGGTTTTATTCTTCTTCTCTTCTATTCCAACAACAGTACGACTATGACCTAATTTCAAAAAAGTTTTGGTATTTCAAAGCCACACAAATCTCATTTACTTCCTCATAGCATACTACTTGTTTTCACATGAAGGAAGACATTACTTGAAATGTAATAAAGGTAGTTATAAGTAAAGAGCAGATGTCAAAAACCTGAGATCCCAATCGCATCCAGCTCTTCCACCCAATAAAAATATAGACTTTAATGTTGCTCTTACTAAACAAAAAACCAACAGGAAATAAAGCCATGCCTTCAATTAAATGAAGAAGGAATGTAAAATGCTGCTCTGAATCGCAGCACATGTAAAGAAGATAGAGAATAATATAAAATCAGCATATTGCAATACTGACCTTGATGCTGCAAGTAGACAGGTGGTTTGGAAGTACACACTACCTTTGCACCACCTTCATTATCTGTAGAATAGTAACGCAAAATCCACTCGAATAAACGAGGATGTGTACCCATAGGGCCAGTTGGTTTGTGAAAGTCAATGATTTGACACCTACAGAACATTTAGAATGAAAGCTGCAATAAAATTTCAAGCAGATTGTTTGTTAAAACAATTTTTTTCACTTCTCAGTCCCTTCCTATTGCATCAAGAATGTTTTGTATAAACACAGCAATTCCAGGCATCAAGTGGTTGTTACCACTTTTTTTTTTTTTTAAATACAGGAGTAGGAAACACATAATTACAAAGCAATGCAAACATATACTGTTCAAAACTGGAAGATTCATTCCATAACAAAGAAACACTCTACTCTTCTCTAACAAGAACAGCTTGCAGAAATTAAAATGTTTTATTTTTTGTGATACGTTTACAGCAGGGAATCCAATTAACAGCTTTCAGAATTATGCATGTGAATAGCTGAAAACCAGCTGCTTCTTGAGAAGAATCAATGTTTGATTTTATGCACACGTGGCATAATTCTTCACCAAGTCTCAATGATTCAGTTAGTAGTTATTCAGTTTATGTACCTGCATAATTAGTTACACAGTTGTATGCTGTGCTAAATCACATCTCTTTACAGGTTGGTTAAATTTAAAGCCACTAAAGTGGCTTTGTCATCACTTAGTTGTCAATTCTGACCTCTAAAGGTGCAGCAGTTAAAAATAACAACAACAAAAAAAGTAATATTTACTTTATCCTGAGATTGGTTAACAGTGAATAAATTTCACATGCTCCTATCCATGCTTTGGAACCATGTAATCTGTTGTTGAAGTGAGATGCCCCGTGAGGATCAAAGCCTTCTCTCCAGGCATCTTCAATCATGGACTGAATCTTTGGTATACTAGGAATTAGTGCAGTATCTGGAACAGAAAAGCTTTTGAATTGTGGTTACAGTTACTGAAATAGTCTATTCTTTAAAAATATTCAGCTTCTTTTATAAGAGGCACTTGATGTTACAAAGATGCACCAAAAAACCTGAAGTTAAAACATCAACCACATCGTGCCTTGCCAGTATTCGCCCTTCTGATTCTTTCCACAGTAAGCTCCAGTGGTAGAACAAGCATCTAATAGGTATCATTTACCTAGCAAGCCCTGCTGTGTAAATGAAGAGGCAAAACATCCATCAGTAAGTCGTCATCTGAGGTATGTGAAAAAAAAAACAGGCAGCATTTTGGATAATACCTCTCAAGCAGTCGTTATACAAGCTGTTCTGCAACAGTGAGGAAAGGAGCATTTGGAAATTCCTGTAACCACAACCCCAGCCTCTGTCGCCCAAAGATGAGTGGAAGTGATCTACTCCTGTTGAAAGCCACACATGCCTTACATCTTTGTTTTCATTCTGATAGTACTTGCACAATGCTTCAATGACTCCTAAAAGAAGACCAAACATAAAGTTTATCTGTAAAATGAACTACAACATTTGCCAGCAAAAGATTCTTTCCCCAGCTTGGAACAGATACAGATTAAGACAATTTATTTTGAAACTTTCAAGTGATTCTATGATACATCTAGAACTCAAAACCAGTGCACATTGCATCTATTTCATTTCAATGGTCTTTACTTTGATGAATTTATGTACTATGAAGCTTTCAAAAATTCAAGCAATTTTTTCGCTGCTTCTACACAAGGAATATTTTAAATTAAACAGCTTGGACTACGTTATGTACCGTGATATGCACAGGAACCATAACAATGAAATAGGCAAAGCGCCACGACCAATAAAGCATTCCTATATCAATGCCACCACCAGCACAACATCCCCTTAAAACCATGAAATACTTATGCATACTATGTAATCCTTTTATTCCTCTCAAATTATTTTTCCTGGAGAAACTAAGACAAGAAAAGGAATGGCACAGAATTTCAGAATTACCATAAATATTTTTTTAAAAATCCACTTGCAGAATATTCCAAACCCTCCTTTGTTACATGAAAGAACACGCTTGGAAATGCTCTCTCCAATTTGTAAAGGTAAATTCTCAAAGGCCCTTTATTGCCATGCTATTGTGAAGACAGTAATTCCATAGCTATCACAGATTATTTTCTGAATTCCTCTCTGAAGCCTAAACCATTACCAAGAATGAAAACTTTAAATGTATTATTATAAGTAATAAAATGTATTGGGTGGAAATAAGACCTTTGCATCTTTCAACACATATTGTATTTGGGCCCTTAACCAGACAACTTGATTCCAAGGTTGCATAGAAAAAGAAAAAAAAAAAGAAAAAAATAAGAGAAGAAAAATGTCTTCAGGTAAGAATAAAGATTAGAAATATACTAAGCTTTAATTTCCATATTAGTTTAAGACTAAAATGGTATAGATTTATCTAGAAAATAAGAATTAGAACTGGAAAAAATCATTATAAACATCCAATCATATGCTTTGTTAAAAGACAGGTTTGATCACTACAACCTAGGTCTAAAAAGTAGAGTTTTAGTTGCGTAATTCCAGCATTTTTACCTGAGGTCTTTGTTTTCCCATCATCTATACCAAAGGCCAAACATTCCATCATGTCAGCTTTCCTCTTGTGATATTCAAAAGGCTGCATCCTTCCTCTATCAACTTCCCTTTCCATATTCTTTATGAATTGCTTCTTGTAGCCTCCAGAATTATCCAATCCATACTGTCTCTGTTAGGGATGGAATATGCACGATTTAAATTAGATTTTTTTAAATTCACCTTTTCTGATTTCGACAAGCTGCATGCACAATCAGCAATCAGGAGGTAGTGAGAGTGGGAAATGAGCTGTCAGGTAGGAGGGAGAAGGAAGCGGGACCTAGGAAGGGAGTGGTCACTGGAGCAGGTGATGGTATCCAGGAAGAGGACAGCCAGGATGCTCAGGGCGTCAGGCACTCTGGCAGAGACTATGCTCCAGACTGCGCTGTAAGGCAGAGCACTATTGCTGGGCCAGGCACAGTACGAGGCAGCAGGCATGCCAGGGCCCCTGGCAAGAGGAGTATGGCACGCACAGGGAGCACCTGGCCCCATCCTGAGCCAGTACCACTCAAAGCAGCAAAGCCACGCAGCTCAAGGCAGGCATGCCCAGCACCTGTGCCAGGATCAGGGTTGCCAAGAGCTTGCGTTTGCCTGCAACCCACTCCTGCACCATCACCTCAACACAGCCTGTCTGACTGCACAGGTCTGACCTGGTATGGCCATTCCAGTTTCAAGATACTCAGCTTCTGGTGGCACAACTGTTCAAAAGCTTCCATTTAGAAATATTACTGTACCTGCAGCTTTTTAAACTCCTCTCTCTCCCGCTTCTCTTCTTCTGATCTCTGCCGTTTATCTTCTTCAATTTGGAGTCGCTGAGCCAGTTCTAGATCTCTTATGTTTCCACCTACCCAGGAATAACATTACGAAGAGGGAAGACTTGATCAGAAACTTAACAATGCTTTGATGGATCATTTATTTAATTTTTAAGGATTCTTTTCTAAGCAGACATACATAAATACAACTAGGCATTAATTTTAGGAGATGCATCCCACATTATTTTGAGCTATTAGCAGCGAACACTAAACAGGACTGACTGCATTTAGTCTACCAAGACTCAGACTCTTTGACTTGGACAAAGTTTATGCAGTTACAGGAACAATTACTTGGCAAATAATACATGTACCTCTACTACTACGAAAACAGCTTTTGTTTACTATGTTTCACTTCATTGTTAGCAAGAAGTCCCAGTTTCTTGAATACATGCTCACTGGCTTCTAGGATCACTGCCAGCAGTCTCATAACAAAGTGACAGAAACAAATTTAGGATCAGAGAACTGGACAGGGCATCTCTAGGATTTTATTAGCTGTGCTAATAAATTAAACTAATTTTGATCCCTTTATCACTACGACTAATGAATCAGCACAAGTATTTAGAGAAAACAATTAAGAAAAAAATTGAAGTCTTCACAAGTTAGAGATTTTCAGCTCATAGGGAATTTAGAGTAGCACATTCCAGTGATGTAAACCTTCTATAGAGCTAGGAAAAAAAATACATAATATGTCTGTCTTTTAAACATTTTCCGCTCTAAGTTTTAGTTTTGGCTAACACACAGTGCATTTACTTAACAAGCATGCACAGACAAATATTTCTTTTAGCATGTGTAATTATGCAGAGCACTTGGGTGAGTGATAGGACTTGCTACGAACTATGTTAACTTCATTATGTATGTGTCTAGTTCTCTTTTTATATAAGGAAATATTTAATTTAAATTTTGCCTGAGATTCTATACTGCAACATGCAAATACTGGTACATGTTTTCAAGTATTACCAAGCCTGTATCCTTTCATGTACCTTCTGAAAAGCTATGTTCCTCTAGGTGTAAATCCACATGTTCTTCAAGAATCTGAATGTTTGTACAGGTAAGACTGCACATTGGACACTCGTACAGCTGTTCACCACTTTCTGTGTCTGAAAAAGAAATGCAGTTTCTTGATTAAGGCAATTCCTGGTTTTTGTGAGAATCACTACCCTAACTGATACACAGTCTAAGATAAATACACAGTAATAGATTTTGTGTTGCCATTGAAATTCCCCAGCGAAAGGCAGCAAATTCTAAACAGCTGTTACTCTCTTAACCATTTAAGAATTTGTATCTAAACACCTTTTTTTCTATTAATCAAGTTTTGCCACATTTAACTTATAGATCACAATTTGTTATGACAGTATTTTTATTAAGAAATGCTGTATCT